CAGGAGTGGTCACTTGATTACACTCCAATGGATTCCTGGACACTGCGGCCTGGTTGGCAACGAAACAGCCGATAGCGAAGCAAGAGCGGCAATATACAACGCTTCTATGTACGTCAAAGTACCGTACTCGCGAAGTGACGTCAACACATTGTTGAGATCACTCATGCGTGAATGCGCTGCCACTTACTGGTCGCTACCAGATCACCGGAACAAGCGCCTGCGGGAAACAGACCCCGGTATGACTTTTCGTCTTCCAGATAAAATCAGCCGAAGACATGCTAATATACTGCACCGAATTCGCCTGGGCGTCGCCTTCACTCGCCACTACACCCACCTAATCGGCCGTGCGGACAGCCCGAATTGTGAACGCTGCCAAGTGCGCGAAACGATAGCTCACATATTTTGTGACTGTGCATTATACATGGCGCAAAGAAAAATGCTAACTGCGACGTTGGCAAGCATTGGACGAACACCATTAAGTGAAAGCCACATATTGTCAGCAATGAACGACCAAACAGTGTCAAAAACTGCTACAAAGGCCGTTCGCTAAGTGGATACTGTGCATACGCACCACCTCTTCTTGTCCCCATCATCACCCTTCATCCCTCTTTCCTTCCCCTTTCCCTTATCCCCTGTCATTGCTATATAAATCAATGTGCTGTTATATTACGCAGCGGGGCTTGGCACAGCGCCGCAGTTAAGGCACGATGGGAGTGAAAGAACATAGCAGATAGCTGAGTAGAAAAATTGCCTCTAGCCTGCTACTCTACGATAGAGTAGCAGGCTAGAGCGAACTAGCTCAGGCCGACCTCTCTGCCTTCTAATAAATTCTCACTCTCTCTATCCACACAATTGCAGATAGAAAGCGGGTATAGGGCCAAGTATCTCACTTCCGTGTCTCAATGGATGCACTCTGATTTAGTGAAAAGGGTGTCTTTTTTTTTCACAACAATAATCGTGATCACTAGTGCGTTCCTCCCCTTCTATTATGAAGGAACCACTACAGTGAAGTGAACCAGTGAACCACTACAGTTCCTTCATATGAAGGAACCACTACAGTTATTCCTTCATTCCCAGAACAAGCAAAGACTGGAACTGCCTTTCCGCTGCCACGGCATCCCTCATCGACCCTGCAAACTTCAAACTCTCCATTTTGCAGCAATTGTAACATTTCGCTTACCTTTTGTTGTATAACCCCCACTCCTTTCTGTAAAGCCTTCGGGCATGGAAAGTATTCAAATAAATAAATAAATAAATAAATAAATAAATCACCACGCGCCCGGCATTTTCAGGCCACGAGCGGCATGCGCGTTATCAGTGTGACAAGCACTCTTGGTAGGAAAGGGACCAGCGCTGAGTTTTCAAGAAAGGAAGCGCAAGCAAGCCGGATGATTATTGCTGTGGAACGGAGAAGGGCACCCTTTTTACTAGATCATTATTTAGAGTGTACCAGCCGACGGCTAGGGGCGACGGGAAATGCCTGGCATGATTTACATATTCTGTAATGATGTTCTTTCTTCTCAATCTGCGACCAAAGCGTACAAAAAAGCTGCACCGGTTGGTTCATGTTCTACTTCGTTTTTGGTTTTGCATCTTCGCTGGCTTTTCTTGCATCTATGTATGCCACAACGGCCTCACTTAGAGCCTAAACAGCTGCACTGCTTAAACCACGAGCTTGAAACCTGCGCACCGTCGAGAGTTCATGGACGCCATCTACGTCACCGACAGCAGTAACATACCACGCGTGCTACTAAAATAATTTTCACCGTGTTCTGGTAATGCCACGTCGCAGAGGCTGTCACGCTCAACTATACACCACTCTGCGTCCACCCCCACCCCACCACCCCCGCTTTTTTTTTTTGAGCAAACGTTTTGTAAAAAAAAGAAACATTGGACCACCTGCAGGAGACTAAATTGAACCAAAGTCACGGTTGCAAATTCAATTGCGCACTGAAAGTCATTCATTTTTGCTGCGTTCTTAGAAACATGAAGGGGCGAATGAAAAAAAAAATATATCCCGACCAACCTTGAAGCGCCCTACTGTGGCGCCATTATGTATACGCTATCTCTACTGCCCCGCGAGGTGTTTGTTTACTATGTACGACGTGTGTACGCACGCGTGAGCTCATAAGCCTCAAGGACGCTCCATTTTATTAACGTGCACCACGGCGGCCGCTGAACTCGGTCGCAATCTTCTAAAGAGCTCCGCGACTGCGCTAGTACACGTCTTAGCGTGAGGCTATTCCCTCGCGCGAAAACGACCACCGCCTTTCATATATCCCCGCGACGCTTTTCTGGGAATTTCACTCCCACATGCATAAACCTTGTGTCTGTCAAAATGGCTGAAACACTTTTTTGTGTGTTGACTATTCAATGCGTAAAGTTTGTAAGGTTCAATGTCACGACAGCCCGAACAGGTCCTCCGGGTCTTCCAAGAACTGTCGATTGCATACGAGAGATTGGCTTTTGCCGACGTCATAGCCTTTTTGGAAATGAATAAGCAGCCACCGTGGCTATATAGGTAATGTTCGCTTTCCCGATGCAAAAGCCGAAAAAAGCCATGCGCATTGAGTCAGACGTGCGTCAGGTAAAATACATATACTGGTCCCTACACTTGCAAAGTTTACTAAGCACCAAAGGTATTTATTTATATTGATCCGTTCCAGCGTGCGTGCGTTAACCGAGCATTGCGCGTTAACCTTCTAGAGCGCGAGAACCAATACAGCAATAAACTTTCAATTTTGTTGTTCAGCACTTGACCAACCTGTTGCGGTGTGCTCCGTGTTTTCGAATAAATAAAAAAATACGATATACACTCGCCAGTAAACGTTCTGAAAACTCCGATTTATTGAATAAGCGCCGCCCGCCGCGGTGGTCTAGTGGCTAAGGTACTCGGCTGCTGATCCGCAGGTCGCGGGATCGAATCCCGGCTGCGACGCGTCTGCATTTTCGATGGAGGCGAAAATGCTGTAGGCCCGTGTGCTCAGATTTGGGTGCACTCAGGTGGTCGAAACTTCCGGAGCTCTCCACTAAGGCGTCTCTCATAATCATATGGTGGTTTTAGGACGTTAAACCCCACATAAAAAAAAGAATAAGCGGCGATTTTAAAACGGCATTTTCAACGTACAGGGGGCACTTTCAAAGCTGACAATCATTGATGGAAAGGAGCACACCTCCATCAGTGGCAGCAACATTGTAAAGTATGCTTATGCCTATTAAAACCAGCTTTAATGTTGCAATACGAACAAACATACATTTACTGTAGCCAAGTATTTGTGCTGGTATGTGTTTGCGCGTTCCGAACTTATCTAAAATACACTTGTTCGCATGTTTTCGTGTTGAGATATCACTTCATGTAATATTTGGGAGTATGGAGAATAAAGATAATAATAGGGTCTTCATCTTTCATCAACAAAATGGGGAAGGCTGGGAGAAAAAGCTAAGAAGCAGCTAGACTAGATCCTGCCCCCCCCCCCCTCTAAAGTATACTTGAGTAAGTTTGCAGCAGTGCATCAAAATCCTTACGAACTTAGTAAATAAAGAAGTGAAATCAAAATATGAAGAAACAAGATTAGTAGCAACAACGCAACGCATATTCATTAAAATTAAAGTTAATAAAAAGGCATTGCGATTTGCGACAAATTGAAATTCAAAATTAAACACCGAATTTGAGATCATTGGATATTTGCGAGAAATAAACTCCGACAAGCGACTAACTTCCTCAAAAAAAAAAAGGACCTCCGAAAAACATTTTCCGAAATTCAAGAAAAATAAACTCCGGAAACACGGAGTCCTATACCATAGAATATTTTAGGGATCGGTTTCGATAGCGCCATACTGGGTTGCGGCCTTGCCATTTAGTATCCCTTACAACTAAACGAACAGTGCTGCGGCGTGTAGACGCATGCGCAAGGATAGGATTGGGTTGGTGCCACCGTGCTCAGAAGTGACGTGTCAGCTTGATATGCCCCGCAAGAAAGCAAAGCGAGAAGAATGACTTCACACAGAGTGCACTTGCCAGTGCCACGGCTGTGTAACGTTGTGCTCTTAGTTTTCGTCCTCTGTGCATTCGCTTCTCGCTGCAAGCGCGGCTGTTTCTTTTTAGAAGCATGCACGTGTACCAGGATAGCGTTCCCGTCGAGCAGTGCCGAAAAGTGTTGTCTGAGTAGAGTGGAATGGTGAGCTATAGCTGACATTTCTCGTTCGCTTTTGAGAGATGTCCACAACTTCCCCCTCAGTCTTTCGTCTCGCGCGTCACCAACACTCGAGGAAGGCCACTCCATCGTTTAGTGGCTATGAACTTGGCGTTGTCAATCTATCGCAGGCCATATACAGGCACGCGAGTATCATGAGCGAAGTGCATACGGCCGCGTGAATCAACGAGAAGCCTCGTTTGCGAAACTGCGGATCTCGTGATGTCTCGCCAAGTCTTGCGCCCCGCTCTTTTGTCCACCTTAAAAGAGATAAATAAATATAACACCCAATTCACTTTTATGCTGGTTGATATGACAAAATGCAGTAAAGCAAGTCATTCGTGAATATCTTCAGTGCAAAAAATAAACGACATCAAGTGCACAATCTCATTGATAAAGCCCACCTCTTTCGCCCTGCTATCTTCATGCTTGAGGTTTGGTGCGTCTCCGGTTACCTTGAAGGTGTATCTGTTATAAATGGAAATGACAGTTTCGTTTAACCCTGCCCCCTTTTCAGGCTGCTTCACCTATTGTCGGAATAAAAACAATGCAGTGGACGGCGTAACGTCCTGCGCACTAGACGTAGTCGGAACTAATTCAAATATAGACGACTGTTTTACTAACAAAACAAATGGTTTAAAAATGTTTTTTTCTCTGCAGAACCTGGCACACAGCTATTTTCACGTCTCTAACTGCGTGGCATTGAGATTAGACATTCACGAATCAGAAGTTGTAGTTTATAAATTGTTAAACGTTCGTTCATTGTGACAGGTAGCAAATATTTCGAGTAGACGAGTTTCCACTGACTTACTGTGTCTGTGCACACGCGGATTTGAGGAAGGCGCAGCAGTGCGCGAGGAGAGACTCGCGCAGGAGGACTTTCGCGGATTCTCGCTGTGCTTTCATATTGCCGACTAATGCCCGTGAGCAAAAGTTGACGTTAAAGACCCTCCAGTCGAGCACACCCCCGGCCTTCCAAGCACCCAACCACTGGTAAGGGATATTAGCAGCCAGCTCAAGGTAAGTCATCAGAGGTAGCCAGGCTTCTTCCGAAGGCAAGTGCTTAATAGCCTCGGCAAAGTAGTTGGATGTGATGCGCCCACTCAGCGCCGCGTAGAACAAGTCATCGACGAGTACAGCTCTTTGAATAGGTGTGAACGCGCTGGGGTCCTCGTTGAGCTGATTTGTGATGAGCGACATGTCCAGCGGGGTGTACAACACGCGGAAGTAGCCGATGCCGTCACTGTTAACAAGGATCCAGTCCTTGGAAGAGGTAGGAGGAATCTGGAGCGTCTGAGAAATATTAGTCATCCAGGACACAAAACTAGGCTCCTGCGTACCACCCCTCCGGGCAGTAACCGTCATGGGCAACGCGTTGCGAGAAGGGTAAGAAAAACGCGATAGGTCACGGAATGTCTCCTGCAGCAGTGCAAGATACGTCGCGTTGGTGCGACGCATTGTAACAAGCGGGTAGACTGGATCTGAAAGCCACGTCGACAGGTTTCGGAATAGTGCACAGCTGGAATCAAGAGTCCGCAGCACGTCGCTGCTGCTGGCCGCCTTGTACTGGAATGACTTGAGGAATCGCGTGGTGCCGTTTGTAAAAACGGCGGAGGTGATGACGCTTTCGAACATTCGCAGGATACCTACTGACTTCCAGACAATCGCGTTCACGTGTTCTGGCAGTGCTTGGAGAACGAACTTGATTGGTTTCGGCTCCCTGTAGGAACTTTTAGAGGTGAGCACACGGAGAGCAATGAGCTCATCGATACCCCAGGTGGGGAATAGAATTCCAAGGACTTTGAAGGAGTAGTACACGGACAATGTGACACAGAGCCAGCGATCGCTGTCGTCCGGAAAGGCAACGACGACACCGAACCACATGGAGATGACGTGACCGACGAGCGGCACGACGCAGCTTGATTTCTTTTTCGTAAACTCAGCAGTCAGTGAGCAGACCCGTTCTCTGGCCTCGACGATCACTACGCACCATTTTGTCGACGCGGGTTTGTCCAACGTCGTGACGGCGATTACTCGAAGCTTCTCGCACGGCAGTTTCACTCCCATCTCCTTTTCAGCGACGGCCACAATTCTATCGGCAAGATCTGCCAGGGCTGGGAGCGCCGGAGACCACAAGGTCACCCTACCTTGAGTGACACTGCTAAGGTTGGTCACCACTAGCGCCAGTTGGTCAGGCGAGATTCTGACGGTTCTCTGGAAGGTACACAACACGCGGTCACCCACGCCTTTGCAACTGCTTTCGTGTGCCGACGAGATGGCAACGAAGGATTTTGGCCGAAGCACTCGTACTTCGAAAGTAGCCCTGTGACTGGGCGAATCGAAGCACGGAAACAGCCGGCGAGCGCTTCTCAGCTTGGCGAATGTCCAAGCTCTCACGATTTCGGATGGGTTGTCGGCGTCCGAATAGCTGTCAATCAAAAGCGAGATATCATCTCCTTCCTTATTCATAATACCACTGAAGTCGATGGTTATGTTATAACGGCTTTCGTGAAGCAGCCTCCCAGTGGTCGACCTCAACTCGAGCCGGCCAGTGTCCTCATTTGTGAAAAAAGCGACGTCGATATTGTTACCGCTGTCATCTCGCAGGACGGCCTTTTTGATAAGTAAGTTCCTTGAGTGCATGGTGATCAAAGACGTGTCACGTAAGCACTCCACCATGAGGTTCACTTCACCGGTAAAATATTGGCGATGGAAATTCGGCGTGATTTGTAGATCATAGTGAATCGGACGAACGGCCAAGTCCGAGAACAGCGTGGCGCCCCGAAGCCTACTGTGTCCCATCCTGGGACTTGTTGGGAAAGCTAATAAGACGATGGCTAGAACCACCAGTGGAACGACTATGGCGCAAGCCACGCACTTGACAGCGTTCCACGCTTTTGCTCCGACCGTAGCCCGCTGGCGGTCAAATAAACTCGACTTTGAGGAATGTGAAATATCGTTCCTGTTATAGCTCACAGTGGCCATTTCTTTCTCCAACGACAGAGGGTAGCCCCACGATGCTATAATTTGCATTGTGAGCATTAATACATTATGTGCTTTCATTTTGTTTCCTTGTCTTCTTTAAAATTTTTCTCGGTCTTATTATTGTTCCAAACGAAATTCCTTTATATTTGGCTCCTTGAGTTCGCAAAACAAAGCACAAAAAGTAATATATTTGATGATGGTGACGATGATGATTATGATGATGATGTCTTCACTATGATGGCGCTCACCCTCGAAGGGACATGGGCCAAGAACCGCGAGGAAGGAGTTTTTCTCACCCACGACCCAAACAAATACCGGTATATCGCTGCAGTACAGTATTGATAACTCTTTGCTTATGACTTCATGCACCCTGTGGCTATGATTTAACTTTCGAGGTAATAGGTAACGGAATGCTCCTTACTGTTTTGCTTGCTTATTTGCTCTAGTTCTTTTGGCACAAAATCAGTGGTGCTTTAGTGATCAGTTCATCAACCAGCCAGCTTACCCCTTAAGTTTAGCACCATTTTATAAACAACAACCACAAATAGGCTTATGTACAAAATGTTCATTAAATATTTTTATGATCTATAGAGTTGTTAGGACATTTTCATCGCCATTATCATCATTATGACCTATCCTCGTTGGTACGAAAAAGGAATGTAGCAACTGTGTTGTACTAGATTACTATCAATAGCAGCAATAACCAAGTTCTTCTTGATAAGGTCGGCTGTCAGTAAAACTTATTTTTTATATCTTTCTTGCCGCAGGCGGTAAGCCGAATGGAAACAGCTTTATTAATTTTTTAATGATATGTGTGTGAAATCACCTCCGTATCTCCAGTACGATACAACTGCATGCTGGAAGGGAATGAGGAATGTCTAATTTGTCACGTTTTCTTTAACTTACTGATGAATTTTCACTTTCCAGCATTCTGTTTACAGCTGTAATCTTGCATTTTATTCCTACGACCAATAATCTTTATAGATATGTGTTACGACGAATAGAGCCATTATGAAACGCCTTCTTTGAGTGGCTGAAGACGAAGAAGTGTTTAAGACCATTCATCTGGCTTTTTGCATGCCACCGAATTACGAGTTCTACTTTACTCTACTTATCAGCACACAACGACAACTAGCAGGTGACATCTGGTGCGATGCTTGAGCCACTGGAAGACGACGTGACTGGCGAAATCATGTCGGAGCAACGATGCTACTCATGCTCCTGCATGGAACATGACTCCCGCGACTCACGCCCTCGCCGATACTTCTGCGAAGGCACCGACTTGATTCTGCCATGTGCATTCGGCCTCATAGGCATCGCCACCTCCACGGCATTCATCGTATTCGTGCTTCTCCACATACTTACCCGCATGAAAGCACAGACACTCAATGCACACAGCCGCGCCTCGCAGCTTGAGTTTGTCGCTCAGCACTACGATATCCGCCTCGAGACAGACCTGACGTCCACCTTCTCCGGTGACCTGTCCCTGCACATAACCTGTCACCACGCTACTCATCTCGTCACACTTTTTTCAAGGAACCTAACGCTCAGCGAAGTAAGCGTGCGACCGCGCGTGGGCCACGCTAGGGAATCAGAGACAGCTGAACTGGTCGGTTCGCAATCGCCTTTCACGACCTTCAAGCTGAAGTGGAATCTACAGCCTTCGGCGGATTACCTGCTGTCCACACGCTTTTCTGGAAGCCTTCACCACGGAGATCACCGGAAGTGGCCGCCCGGAATGTACCGCGAAGCGGGTGACTCGTACACAACGGTCACCTCGTACGTCGACCAGCTGCACGATGCCGCTTTCTTTCCGACCGTGCAGAGCGTCATGCTGAAGTCTACGTTCAGCTTGTCCGTGCTTAAACCAAATGCCAGTGTCGCGGTGCTCTCAAGCTGGGATCTCTTAAAGGACACCCAAGCACTCGACGGACAGACATATGCCGTCTTTCAGAAGACACCTCCGATCTCGGTCAATCAGGTCGCCGTAGCCGTCACCACACTGCCCAAGGCAACTGATGGCTTCACTACGCTCCACGCTCACATGGTAAACATGCCGCGGCTTCAGCACCTCCTCGAATTCTGCACCAACGTCGTCGAGATGGCGGCGGAGGCCACTGGAATATCTTTTCCAAACAAGGGACTGGACGTTCTGGCTCTCCATAGGTTTCCTCGCGCGTGTCGCTCCACCTGGAAACTCGTCGTCGTGAGAGCCGGTACGTTCAAGACGAATGCCGCCGGAGGACTCCACACGAACCTTGGCCGGCCTTACCTGCGCTTGACCATAGAACTATTGAGCACGTGGTTCGGGAACATGGTCACCGTAGGGCCGTGGCTGGACAGGGGTCTTGCCGTCCTTTACGCCATCAAAGTTCTTAAGCTCGCCAAACCTCAGTGGCTCCTGGACGACATACTTCACTTGTATCGATTCATCACGCTGTCCAGCGTGGACCTCGGTCCGACGCATGAGAAAGTGTTATACGACTACGAGCTACCAATCGCTGCAGTCTCCCTCCTAGCCATGTTTCGTTTCGCTGTCGGCCAGGACAGCTTCAAAGTGGCCACCACCGATTTTCTCAAAAAGACAGGGCGTGATGATGTTGCAGAACAAGAGTTTTGGGACAGCTTGAAGGCTTCCAGTTCAATGGAAGATATAGCTAACTATACGTCCGTGTGGAGACAGCACTCGGGTTATCCGCTCCTGAAGGTCGTACGAGAAGACGCCGAAACAATTCACGTCATGCAGGAGCCGTTCTTCTGTTCCAGCTGTCACGATTCGAGGAGTCGAATGCAGGCCCCGCAACAGTCAATGCCAGCAACAATATGGCCAATACCTATTACACTTTCCTACGCTAGCGAGCCACAGAAGATCGACGTGACGGCTGTTGTGTGGATGGTTACTCCAGAGGTAACGTTGAAGGCTCCCAACGCTCATTTCGACGACTGGGTGCTGCTAAATGTGGGCAACGAGGGCCTCTACCGCGTCGACTACGATGACTCCAACTGGAGCCATCTCATACGTCAGTTGCAGAACGACAGCTCAGTCATACCCGTGGCGAACAGAGCACAAATTATCGATAATCTCTTCCATCTGGCTCTCGCTGGCTATAGGCAAGTATAATGCATTCTTTCTAAGTAATCTAAATTAGGCTATGCTTCGTTCAGTAACGCACTTAGGCCGATAAAAAATATGATCACCGTGTCAAGATATGAGATACCTTATACCTCACCCCGTCAGTTCATTTGTACAAAAGAGAATTAACTATTCGTAGAGAGGATAGCAAAGGAAAAAGCTGCCTACCTGCAACTGGCTTTGCCCCACCACTCTCTTGGAACAAATGTAGCAACGCGCGGTACACAAATAGAGTAGCGTGCAATTAAATAACCGTACTACAAAAAAAACACTCGAAATGCCATGTGTACAATATTTCTAACTAGATGATTGTGTGCGTTGTCATTGAGTTATTTTCAAATATAATACACTACGATTTATTCTGTTGCCCTTCCACAACCGAGTGTTCAGTAATCAGAGCATTTAAATTTCACGCATTTATATGCAGTAAATCGTTGAATTGAATTCAAATCAATGTATTTTCTTTACCAGTCAAGAGGGCGGCGAGGACTAAATGTTTGTGAGCTGATCAAAGGTCCCTGCCCCCACATACACTTCGGGCAACGGTTAGAATTCTTTGAAGCATATCATTCTCATACTATAGAATTAAAGGGACAATGAAGACGTTTTTAATTCATGAATTTATTGGAAAATTGTTGTCTATGACCTCTTACAACATGCCTGCGAATGTTTTTTGGCGATTTTCTATTAAACAACGGTGCTATAAGCGAGCAAACTTTGGACGAAGGAACGCCCCTCAGAGTGCGCGGAGCGCATGGGAGTACTATATAGTTTCCTATAAAAAAAGTGGGCGACCCTTAAATGGACACTAACGCATGGGAGTACTATATAGTTTCCTATAAAAAATTGGGCGACCCTTAAATGGACACTAACAGCAAATGTCAAGTCGACGTTGATTGTTGAAATGGCGGTCCCGAAACCTTGTAGTGCTTCTTCTGGGCCAAGAAAGTGCTTATTTTGAAATCGAAGCACGCTTTAGCGGTCCGCATCGCGTTAGAGCACTTCAAAGTACCCGCCTGAAAGCGGTCTTTCTCGCGTCACTGCTGCCATGCTTCAACGTTGCCCGCCTTTACCGGCGTGGCCGCCGACCGTAGCAGAAGCTGAGCGAAAGTGGTGGGAGCCACAGTAGCAACAATTGCCACCGAATAATTGTCTGCTTGCTTGGTTCGACAAGGCCCTACCAATTGGCATTACCTGTCCAGCCTAACCAGGCGAAAACGAAACCACCTTCAAACCACTCGCGCTATTTCCCATAGTAACGTCAGGTGGTTCTAAATGTGGCGCATTTCTTTGGTTACTACAAGCATTTTTGGCCTCTATCTATCTATCTATCTATCTATCTATCTATCTATCTATCTATCTATCTATCTATCTATCTATCTATCTATCTAGCCACTTACGTCTGGGTGCTCACGAGATCTCCCATTTAGCTTGGCGTGTACCAAAATTAGTATTGGAGGGTAAGATGACTTGACGGTTACTCCTGAGGTAACGTTGAAGGCTCCCAACGCTCATTTCTACGATTGGTTACTGCTAAATGTGGGCAACGAGGGTCTCTACCGTGTCGATTACGATGACTCCAACTGGAGCCACCTCATACGTCAGTTGCAGAACGACAGCTCAGTCATACCCGTGGCGAACAGGAATACATATTTTAGCGCAGCTCGGAGCACATGTCATCTGT